CCCTGCTTGTGTTCCCTCTCTCACTGTGTCTCTGTTAAATTAAAAAAATCTTAAAAAAAAAAAAAGTTGAGCAATCCAAAAGCTTTACCACGTTCTGTACACTTCTAAGGTTTCTCTCTAGTATGAATTCTGTAATGCTGGAAGCAGCTTGAGCACTATGAAAGGGCTTGCCAAAGTTTTATATCTGTAAAATCACCTCCACTATAAATTCTCTGATAAGGAATGAGGGTTGAGCATTGCTTAAAGGTCTTGCCACATTCTTTATACACGTGTATAGTTACTCTCCAATATGAATTCTCTGATGTGGAGTTAGGGTTCAGCAGTCCTTAAAATTCTCTCACAGTCTTCAAATTTGTAAGACTTCCTCTAGTATGAATTCTGTGATGTAAAGTCAGGTGTGATTGCTGGATAAAGGCCTTGCCACATTCTTTACATTTGTAAGGTTTCTCTCCAGTATGAATTCTGTGATGTTTAATAAGGTTTGATTGATGGTTAAAGGCCTTGCCGCATTCTTTACATTTGTAAGGTTTCTCTCCAGTATGAATTCTGTGATGTTGAGTAAAGCTTGACTGCTGGATAAACCTCTTGCCACAATACTTACATTTGAAAGGTTTCTCTCCAGTATGAATTCTGTAATGTAGTGTAAGGGCTGAGTGCCAGTTAAAAGCCTTGCCACATTCTTTGCATTTGTAGGGTTTCTCCCCTGTATGGATTCTGCGATGTCGAGTGAGGCCTGACTGGTGGATAAAGGCCCGGCTACACTCTTTGCATTTGTAAGGTTTCTCTCCAGTGTGGACGCTGTCATGCTGCCTCAGGTGCACATGGTGCTTAAAGGCTTTGCCACATTCTTTGCATTTGTAGGGTTTCTCTGCAGTATGAATTCTGTGATGCTTAATAAGGTTTGACTGCTGCTTAAAGGCTCTGCCGCATTCTTTGCATTTGTAGGGTGTCTCTCCGGTATGGATTCTGTGATGTTGAGTGAGGCCTGAAAGGAGCATGAAGGCCTTGCCACATTCTTTACATTTATAAGGTTTCTCTACATGATGAATACTGTGATGTCGATTCAGGTGCGAGAGCTGGATAAAGGCCTTGCCGCATTCTGTACATTGGTAAGGTTTCTCACCAGTATGAATTCTGTGATGTTGAGTGAAGCCCGATTTAAAGCTAAAGGCCTTGCCACATTCATTACATTTGTAAGATTTCTCTCCAGTATGAATTTTGTGATGTGTATTAAGGTGTGATTGCTGGTTAAAGGCTTTGCCACATTCTTTACATTTGTAAGGTTTCTCTCCAGTGTGAATTCTGTGATGTTGAGTGAAGCTTGAACGATGGATAAAGGCCTTGCCACATTCTTGACATTTATAAGGTTTCTCTCCAGTGTGGATTCTGTGATGTTGAGTAAGTTGTGATTGCTTCCTGAAGGCTTTGCCACATTCTTTACATTTATAAGGTTTCTCTCTAGTATGAATTCTGTG